GATGGCCTGGACGGGGCTGTCCGGTGACCGGGGCTGCTGGGACAGTGATCCAGCAGGACGCCACGTCCTCGTACTGCTCCTGCAGAGGCGGCAGGGGACAGATCTCGGAAGCCCTGTTAGAGAGCCCCACTGAGCCTGTGTGGGGTGATCTGGGACAGTGTTGGGCATCTAGGGGCTCAGAGACCAGCGAAGAGGCACCTGCTTGTGCAGGCTCTGTGTGGCTGAATGCGTCTGCAAGCTGGTGCCAGGCAGGAGGACTGGATGTGCAGCTTGTGTTGCTCCAGACCCTGCCAACCTGCAGACAGACCCCTGTGGATCCACCCTGCTGAGCAGCATAAAGGATAACCGAGGTCATGTCAGTTCTGTGAAATGCCAGCTATGTGAATTTGTTGCAGTTTGCAGCAATAGTGTTTCTTTTGGTGCTCAAATTATTTCAAGTCCATGGTTTTTGCCCGCCCCCCCTGGGTTGCTGGGTTGCTGAGCTGAACCCCCCCGGAACGAGAGTGATGAAGGTGGTGTGGCGAGCGACCTCTGAAACACGCGCCCATGTTGTCAACTACTGGCAGCTCTTACTGGTAAAGTCAGGAGGCCGAGGCGCTGCCTCTGGCCTGCCAATCAGGAAGTGGGTGGGGCCTGCTGTTGCCCTGGGCAACATAACCCCTCCCCCTTTCTTGTGCAGCAGGAAGGTGTGCAGGGCCTTGTGGGAAATGTCAGTGCTAGTCAATAACACAGCTTGCAGTTCTACAGCCCAGCTGCCCCCAAGAGGCTGTTGTGGCAGAGCCCGCTGGGAGCTTGGCTAGCACTGAGCGTCACTTCAGCGGCTCGGCTCGTCACGCCCTCTTCCCCCTCCCCCAGGTGTACGGAGCCGCCATCCAGTTCTACGAGGCGTTCCCGCGGGAGCAGCTGTCCGAGAAGCAGCGCGCGCGCCTGGGCCTGGTCAGCGTGGTGGACCGGCGGCCCATCACCAACCGCGCGGTTCACGTCAAGAAGAGCATCTGCGTGCTCTCCCACTGGCCCTTCTTCGACGTCTTCCAGAAGTTTCTCACCTTCATCTACCGCTACTCCATCTCTGGCCCCCACATCCTGCCACTGGAGAAGTGAGTACCCCTCCGGACCCCCCCACCCCAGGAGACGGGGGCGTGCGAGTTGAATCTCCGAGACGGTTCTGGAGACTTCCTT